GGGTGAGTATATCTTAGAAAGCCTGGAGAAGTTTCATCCTGAGGAGTTCCTTTGTAAGTAAAAGTGCATTACACTGTCCTTAGGACTGTAGTCTACAAAGGGGAATCACTGTGAAGGATGCTGTTGTGGAATGTCTCTCCTTTTTTGACTTTTTATTTCATTTGTTTTGGTTTTTGCTTATTTAGAAAAGATTGTTATCCCTCGGAGTATTAAGTCATCACATATTGCCTTAATCCTCACTGTTCTTCCAGGTGCCAAAATCACTAACGTCAGTCTAGGACTTGTGTAAGGCAGCCTGAAACCTGCTTTAAAAATCTACTTTGAAACCAACTTGGTAATAGACCATCCACATCATTCAGAGAGACTTGTCCCTGGAGATTTAAAAAACAATCACTTCATTTGCAGCAACATGTTTACATTTGAGAAGTTTTAAAAACAATAATGTGTTTTCACTTATTTTACTTTTAATTTGCAGTCCCATTGATTGAACCCCAGACCTCATGTGTTCTAGGCTTATACTCTAAAACTGAGGAACCACTTCAACCCCTTCTTATTTTTTGGAGACCTGGTCTTGCTAACTTACCCAGACTGGCTTTGAGCTTTTGATCCTCCTGCCTGGGCTTTCTGAGTGCCTGGATTACAGGCGTGCCCAAAAAGGCCAGTCTCATCATCATTTTTAATGTGCATTTCTTGATATGCATAAAATGCCAAATATTTCTAAGATTCACAGTAATTATATCTTATTAAAGTAAAGGCGGCTATGGTTTCTAAAGTACTGACAAAATCTTTGCAGTAGGTTGAACCACCTTGGTATTTCTTCAGGGAGTAAGGACACAAGTTTTTGCCATACAAACTGGGTGTACACATCCTCAAGGCAGTGTATGGCAGATGTGTGTGCGATGACTGAGGTGATGGTGCATTAGTGCGCAAGACCACTGTCATATTCACAGCTTGTTGAAGGATGAATTGTGACTGAGGGACAACGCCTTGCACGTGTCCCAGTTGAAGACTCTCCCACATGTTCGTCTCTTTTTAAAATTCATGACTACCTTGGGCAAACTTCATTCAAAGACTGAAAGGTAATCACTCAACTTATGTTAAAAACTTGGTTTGAAAGAATACTTTTTGTAAAGCATGTTTTGTATGGACTTCTTCCCAATTGGTGTTCTTTTGTTCCGATAACTTGAGCATTTTGCTTCATATGCACTGTAAACAAAAAAATTCAATCCAATGAAGTACTAGAGGAAATCCACGCCTACCTTGTATTATGTTTGACTCAATGACATGGTAAGTGGTACAAAAGAAAAATAAAATCCATATAAATTCGTAATGAGGGAGAGGGGAAAATTCGTTGAAACAAGCCAAAAGACCACGTGGTCCCTGTCCTTTAGAGAAAGGAATGTGTTGTTTGAGGTTGGTGGGTAACCTCAGAGACCTAACCACTGACATCCTTGGCAGATGTCACTCAGACACGTGTTAATAAGGCAAGGACAACAGGTTGCTCATGAGCTGCGAGGGACATACAGTCTCACCAACATGTACTCTTTGCACAGTGCTATGGATATGTGAGGCCTTACATTATGGATTATTCTAATATAAATGTTGCTTACATGTGCATTTTCCACACTTCACATGTTGAGATGAAACTTTTCACAGTTTCATTAGGCTCTGTATGTAATAGAATGATGGATCTGCCATATATTTTGAGTCTGTGGAACATGAACCAATACACTTTTGTGTGGCCCTGTAATGAAGAGAGCCTGACTGCCCAAGTCTTAGAAAATGTGTGTTTCCTAGCATCCTTTTACAGAAATTTTGCAATTTGTCTGTACATTTGAGCTATACTGCCTACACATTAAGACTTTAATGTTCAAAAGATGTGTACAATATCAGTTAGCATTATATATTAAGATAGAGAGAATGTTATTACTGATCATTAATTTTGCCAGAAGTTAAAATAGGAACATAATCTGTGTGCGACATTTGTAAAAAGCCTTTTATGATTCTTAGCGCGTTTCATTTGAAACTAAAGCAAGCCCCACACAGTTGGCGCTCTGCTGTTCTGTGCAGGGTGAAATGGTGGAGGCACGGACTCCGGAGAGGGAAAGCAAGTCCCCATGCTTCACGCTGGGTTATTTCATTCTACATTTCCAAATTTCTTAGATCAGATCCGTTCCCCACTGAAATTAAAACAAAAAATGTGACAATGTTACCTTTCAGTTTATTGATACGTGAAACTGGACAAAGCACTTATTTATTCTCACTGAAAGCTGGTAGCATTTTATTGGTATTCTCTGAAATATGGGGCAAAGCCGAAGGGAAGGAAACCCTGTGGAGGGAAGAAGTTATCTGGTCTCCACATGGAATCTGCGATGATTCTCTTAGGCACTCACATTACAAAGGAATGTGAGTCCATACCCCACTTGGGGCCATGTTGACAAGTGTCTGAGTGTCATAGTGTTGGGCTCAGGCCACCACTGATGTCCCTGTTGTGATACCTGTTGACTCAGTGGGTTCAGATCTACTAGGAGGGCAGAGTGAACATGGATTCTCTATATGATGCTATAAAAAGTCTCTGTCAAGTTTCTGGGAACTTGTGAGGTGTTGGTATAAATTTTTGTGCAGGTCTCTCCAAATGTGTGTAGCCACTGTGGATCAAGGTGAGGCCTCTCTGTGAGGATCATTATGTGTCCCTGTGTCATAGTGAGTGTTCTGTGCACTACCTCTATGGTTGGGCTGTCCTAGAAGGAGGTCTCTGAAAGAAGGTGAAGTTCTAGAAGACTCGGAGGTCCTAGGCAAGATCTCTATGAGAGTTGGTTGTTAATATTTGTGAGTCAACCTTTGTGGGTCCAAGGATCTCATCCCTGTATGATGATTCTGTGGAATCATCCTTGGGAAACTCTGTAAGGTTACTTACTCTGAGGTAAGTAGTTGTGCCAGGCTTTGTGCTCGTTGGAGGTCAGCCTGTGTCAGAGAATTCATGAAATCTCTATGAATTTCTCTGTGGGGGTCTCTGTTGAGCCTTAGTGTAGGTCTGGTCTGAGGTCTGTCAACATGGTGTTCTCTAGAGTTCCGTGTGTGGCTCTTTGTGGAGGTCTGTGTTAGTCTATGGATTTCTGAAAATCTCTGTGGTAGTGTCCATGTATATCTTATGGAAGATTTAATTTGGGGTCTGTTCAGGCCTGAGGGGTCTTTCACAGAGCGGTCTGTGTCAGGGAATATGCATATGTCTGAAGAACTCTCTGAGAGAGAATCCAGGGAGATCTCTCAGAAGAGTTTCAGGGCCTCTGGACATCACTGTGGGATTTGTCAGTGTGGATCAGTGTGGACGTCTCTATGTGGGGCTCAGTGGGAATCTTTCTAACTTCTCTGTCATTGGCCTTACTACTACCCCTCATTTTCTCTTGCCTGGGTAAATCTTGCCTGTGGCCCTTTCTCCTACTGTTCCATGATACAAGCCAGGACTTAATCTAGGAAAATGCCTTCTGACCCAGGCCAGGACTGTGGCTGTGTTAAATCCTGACCTCTCTGGAAGAAATGCTGTGATTACATATATGTGTAACATCACCAGTTGGAAGGCACATTCCTGTTTCCCAGAGCTCTAGGTTTTCCACTTTTTGTCAACTGGTTCTTTCTGGAATTCAAGATGAGGTAACATACAGACTCATTAAATATACTATTGGGAAATTAATCTTCCTGCCTGAAGTCTCTGCTTCCTCTTGGATCTATGTCAGAGCTCAAGGGGCTTCCTCAGGCCTGTGGTTTGGGAGCCAGAGTGGGGAGAGCCCTGAGACGAAACAGGGTGAGCAGCTCAGCCTGTGGTGTGCTCTTCCTCCAGACTGGTTCACGGCACTGGGTGCACAGCGGCTTCCCAAGGGTAGCACCCTTTATGGCACCCATGTGCCGCTCTGCCTCCTTCACTGGCTACACCTTTTGGAACTACTCTCCTACATTTCATCATGGGTGCAGCATGTCCTATCTTTGGATGGTTCTGCACACACAATCCTGCCCAGTTGGGAAGGCAGATAACCCCGGGCAAGGCTGACACAGTTTCAATAGCTGTCCTGCAGCTCCTAGTCACCCGTAAAGACACAGGCAAGTTCCGTCTGAGGCTACTGTTCTAGACAGGAAGGAAGAATTGGGGAGGTGACACTGGTGTCATCCAGAGTGACATAAAATGGGCTGCAAGCCCCATCCCCTTGCAGTCTCCATCAGGCAGAGTAGGGGCTCCCAGGGCAGGTATTGCTAATAACATCAAAGGTTCAGGGTGGCAAAAGTCTGCCTCTTGTGAACTCAAGGCCACCGCTCTACCCACCCACCATTCCTGTGGTCACATGGTGACATGTGAAACTACTGCAAGTGATGTTTCCTCGGTACAACCGTCTCCAGAGCTGCACCGAGTTGGAGGCAGAGGGAAGGCAGGGGAACCACAGGTCGAGCCAGAGCCTGGGGTGGGGTCTTTGTAGGGATGGGTCATCCTGATGAATCCAGCGGCTCTGTGGTTTGTGTAGGGAGCACACGATGAAGGCTGACAGCACAAGGATGGACACTAGGGTGAGGGTCGGACATCAGTGCCTCCACAACCCCACGCCCTCTAGAAGCTGCTCTGAAAAGAGCACATGCCGATCCCCTCTCACACCCAGCTAGGACACAGAAGCTCCTAACTCAGATGAGAAAAGAACATTAGGAAGCAATAGACATCTTGGGAGGAAGAAAGCATTTACATATAGGAGATATGCTCGTATGAAACAAAGCAGTTTCTCTTTTAATGCATTTCCTCTGCAAAGAAGTTTTCCTCAGAAGAAAAGGCATGAGGAAGCTTCTGCTGCATTTGAGAAAAGACAACTCTTTGGAAAGAGCTTGTGGGGTGATGGTGAAGGTAACCTGAGGCACCCCTGCCTGTTGGCCTGTGATGGCCTTGACTGGTGGGGCGCGCAGGCACTTGAGGCAGCAAGACCTGACTGCTGTAATTGTCTCTGATCCACCTGCTCTTAGTAGGCTGGCTGTGGTCACTGGGGTTGTTGTGAGCACAGGCCATGTCTTTCACTGTTGTCCTCTTGTCTGGGCTGGAGGGAAGCCTGTGGTAGCAGGCACGCCTACCCACAGGTCCAGGAGGTTCTGCTTTATGGGAGTTTGCGCCTGAAGGAGCACTTTCGTGGAGAAGCCCTAATTTCTTTAACAGAATCTGTCGAATAACTTTCAGCAGCATCTGCACTTTTGGTTCCTCCCTGATTGTGTCCACTCTGTTTATGATTGATACTCTGCTCTGAGCAAGGGCTGATGAGGGCTTGCTTTTTTGCCTGAAGTCTTCCTGCCCTTTGCATTGTTTATTAGTATTAGGATACTGCAGAAAGTACTTCATCTTTTTAATTAGGCTTTTTATAGGAGCCTGGCCCTTCTCTGGCAGGTGTGGAGAGGATTTGGTCCCAGGGGTATCTACCTTCCTGACCAGTGGCGGAGGACTCTGTCTCTCCCTGGGCCTATTGATGTCCAGCTGACACTCCACTTTTCTCCCGACATTTGGAGCTTGATTAGAGGGGGAGGAGTGAATACTGGTGTCCTGAGACCCTAAAGGCCTTAGGCTGATGTTGATGTTCTGAGAGTTTTCCATCGTGCTGGCTCCTACGGTGACTTCCCATGCCGGGTGCCTCTCCTCCACCTCTGGCCTCCTGCTCTCTTTGGCTACCGAGAGTGGGGACAGTAGTTTGACTTCCAGCGTTGGTGTGCTGCGGCAGGTACCTCTGAAGGCCACCATCCCAGTCCCCTCCCCTGGATCATGCTTGGCCATTGCTGGGCCTGGAGTGGGCCCTGGGCTGCCTCTCTCGATCCTGAGAACAGTGCTGCTCTGCTGGGTGCAGGCAGCAGAAGGAAGCCCAACCTCCTGTGCAGTTGGAGGGATGTCGGAGGGCCCATCATTGTGATCAGATGGGGTCCCAGTGCCAGATCTCTGCACTTCCTTCCATGCAGATGACCTGGTGGCAGGGAGAGGGCTCTGCAGACTGGGAAAGGATATTTTTGTTGTCTCGTTCTGTCCTGGAACTTTCCCAGGAATTTCTTGCTGGAAAGTGGCTAATTTGGCAGTGAAGTCAGCCGTGGAGTCATAGGTCTCCAAGGAGGCAAATGTGGGCTGTGGAGAGGGCAAGGCTTGAGCCTCACCTGTGTGGACGTTTCTAGGCTCAAAGTTCTGCAAGAGTGTCCCCCACTTGTGCCTTAACCGATAGTTTTTCATATGCACTTCCAACAATAGATGAGTTCTGGGATCAAGGAAGGCAAGCACCTGAGAGGTGTTCACACACTTTTCCAGACCGTTGGAGTATTTAAGATTTGTGGGTTGTGAGTGGTTGTTTGACTTGGGTGAAGTGTGTTTGTCAGTAAGCCAAGATCTTACACACACAGGGATCGTGCCTTCTTCGATTTGCCCCAACTTCCTGTTCAGATGGACTTGCAGGTCTTTTTGCAGACATTTCTGTTCTTGCCCCCTAGAGAAGTGACCACCCGAGTCATACTTCTCAGGCCCCATGATGTTACTTTGTGCACCTTTGTGCTGCTGAACCTTCCATGAGGTGCTTCCTGTACTCTTGGATGCATCTTTCCTGCCTTTGTTTGTATCTTGTGGAACTTTCCTTCTGTCCTCTCGTTTGAGGGTTACCAGACCCTTATTAAAGGGACTGTCAGACGGCCGGGACCCTGTATTCTGGACAGCTTTGTTCTTTCCACAAGCAAGTGCTGAGGGCCGGGTGGGCTGGGTGGGTCCCTGGCTGTGCTGTGCCTGGCCCTCACACTTCCTTGGGAATTTGCCCAAATGTTGTATGAGACCCTGGGATGGTATGAACCTGAAAGCAGGGTGGGGCAAGTTCTCGCTCCCCTCATCTCTGTTGAATCTCCCTGGCCTGTGACACTCTGGTTTCTTCTCCAGTACAGCGCTGCAAGAATCCCCAGAAAGCATGGAGAAAGACTGTGGGGCCTCAGAGGCCTGGCTGCCTTGAGGAAGGTTGAGAGTAGGTAGGCTAATGGGTTCTTGACCTTTTTGGAGCTTAGAGTTTAAAGCCTGTCTCCATTTCAATGGCTTCTGCAGGGTCCATTCGAGGTCCTGATTTTCAATAGGAAGAAACGACTGTGCCTTCTTCTGGGATGTAAAGCAAGTTGTTCCACAGGCCCTGACCTGGGATGGACAGGTAGGCTGTGGCTTTGGGGGAAAGCACAGGAGTTGGGCTGGCGGCTGGACAGACGGCAGAAATGTGGGTAAATTGCGTAGTAATGGATCTGACATATGTGTGGGAACTTCATTAAATTTAATAGTTGGAGACCATGTAGATGAAGATCTTTCACCAGCCCAGGCAGTGGCCACGAGGGACTCACTGTGCAGAGAGGGCAGGCCCCAGAAGAGTAGGCTGCATTCACGCTCTAAAGGGCTGCCCAGGACCTTGTGGAGAGAGGGCTGCTGAGACCCAAGAAGCCACTCTGCTTTGCCCTTTGTGCTGCAGAAGGGCTGTGCAGAGGTGAGTTTGTCACCCAGTGACTTTAACAGGTTTCTCAGAGAAACCCGGGGGTGGTCTGTGTTCACCGGTTGGAAAAATGAGCCGCCCTTTGGTTTTTCCTGGAGCATTTTCTGTTTGACTCTCTTGCTGATCAGCATCTCCAGCAGCTTCTGCATGTCAGGGTGGATGAAAGCATGGTCCCCTCTTCCCGCCTCTGCCTGCCAGTGTGAGGGGCTTTCCCAGAGCACAGTGTCTGGTGGGTGGGGAGACAGATGTTCTTGCTGGGATTTGCCATGTGCCCAGCTGGAGAAGAAGGTGGCCTTGGCAGTTGCCCAGCACCAGGAGAAGCATGAAAGACAGTGGTGAAGGAGGTCAGGGCCTAAGAGAAACCTGACGAAAGATGCCAAACAGGATTTACTGAGCCAGGAGTCGTGGGGCCCAGTGCCTGGGGGCAGCCTCCTCAAGGCAGGCTGGTCTTCTTGAGGCTCTGTGGAGAGGGTTGAGGCCAGTGAGTGCTGGGTCCCAGAAATCAGAGAAGGCAATGAGGACAGAGAGCTAGAAGAAGGGGCTGCCACCCAATGCCTTGGTGGTCCATTGGCTCCTGCAGACCCTGGTTGGAACACCTCACCTGGGGCATCTCCATGAGAGAGGTGATTGACTTCGGCGTTTCCGGGGAGCTTGTGTAGGAGGCTGCAGGAAGCAGGAGGCACAAGCTACAGCCAGGAGCAGACAGGCCCCAAAGGGAGGGTAGGTTGGGCAGGGGTCAGCAACTGTGGCCCTCAGTCCCTTCACTGTCCCCCACCCTAGGTTCACCAGGCCAGCCACCCCACCATGCCATCTCCCCCTTAGTCCTAGAGATAGAAAGATCTTCACCTTTGTAGAACTAAAACTAGCTGCCGAGTCTCCTCCAGTTCCCTTCGGCACTCTCTGCAAGCTAGAAAAATAGACTGGGTTATGGCAGAGAAGGGAGGCCCCTGGGATCTTACAAGAAGCCGAGTAGATTGTCACATGGGAGACACCATATCATATTAGACCTGCAGGCCAGCCAGTCATCAGTGTCTGAGACTCCTGACAGTGATAGTAAGGAACAAGGAGAGGCCACTTTTTATCCTTTACAAGAAGCTTCTGTGTCCACCAACCCCCATTGTCCTCACAGTTACCTTATGGGGAGGAAAGACCGCTCATCTAATGAGTAGTCTGCTATAGAGAAGTAAAACAGCGTTCCTGCAGTTAGACCTGTAAGTTCCGCCTGCAAATGTAAACAGTATTGCTCCATTATGACCCACACTGCCCCCTCCCGGACACCACCCTTCCCTGGCCAGTCACAGCTTCATTCCAAGCACACAGCCTGAGAAATGTCCCCAGGTCAGATTTCTTTCCCAGAAGCTTCACCGTTAGACCTCCTCAAGTGACAGCCGCAGAGATTTGGATCTGGTTTCTCAGGAACAGGGAGTTCAAGTCACATCTGTCCTAGAAGAACAGAGCCTTACCTTTCAGAATATAGCTCTTCTTTTTCTTTCTTCTTTTTCCCCGCCCCTTCTTTTCCACGTGGGGCTGAGAAACAAGAAAGTAAGAGTCTGAGACCCAATTCTCCCGCGTTTTTCTGTATGCAATGTTCCCAAATAGTGTGACTTTCTACATTCCAGAAATAGAGTTTATTTGTAATGTGGCTAAAAGCATTTTCTGTTTTTCTTCTTTGGAAAACAGAATAGCTTTTGCATGTAAGCTCCACATGGATGTCATTAGTCCCAGTTCCTCTTGTCAGGAAACATACACTGAGATCTACCCACATGTCTCTCAGCTCCCACGTAGGCCTGAGCTTCCGGCTGCCAGTCCAGATGCATCTGCCGTGAGAATGGGACTGACGCACCAGTCCTCCGACGCTTTTCCCAAATTCTCTGGAACTCTACGTTTTAGCCATTTTTTTCTCATTGTTTTATTTCACTGTGGCCCCTCCAGCGCACCATACAGGTGATCTGAGAGTCTCAGATGAATGTCTCAGTGCCCACTCTCACCTCTGCCCCACCAGTCCCAGAAGAATGGTATTGTTACTGAGATTTCCACACTTATAATTCTCTCAACTGAGGGGCTGGGGATTGAGCTCAGCAGCACAGCGCCTACCTGGCAAGTGCAAGGTCGTGAGTTGATTCCCGGTACCAGAAACAAACAAACAAACAAACAAAAATTCTCTCAACTGGTTTAGGAAAAGTAGAACATATAGTCGAAGAAAGAGGCCTGTTTATTGGGTTTCTCCCAAGGGATGCTTACCTTTCTGATGTTTTCCTTTTTCCAAGTTAATGGGAAGGATGGATCAGTCTCCAGGAAAGGGATCAGTAGGTTAAAGAGCAGCAACCCACACAGAACGGCAAGGATCATGTCCATTGCCCAGCTGGTGGAGCTGGTGCTCAGCCATGTGGTACTAACACTTTTCAGACGGAAGAGAGGATTCTCCATTATCTGAACTGAACTGTCGCCCTCAGGCTACTGAGCCCTGAGAGTTCCCTCAGTGAGTCAGGGGTGGGGCCCAGGCCTGCATCACAGAGCTCTGGTCTCCTCATCACAAAGGGGTCCTGAGGGGGGCTGCAGAAAGAAGAGGGAACCCCATCATCACTCCCCACCCTCCAGCCCGGCACATCCTCTAGTCTCCTGAGTCTTCCAGATTCTTCCTTCCAAATCCAGCTGTTCAGCCAGTCAGATAGTGCCCCGTACATTTTCAACCACCACCACCACCCAGAAGCCCAGATGGGACTGCTTCCTCAGGGTCTCTGCCTGAGCTACATCAGTTTCATAGTTTGTGAAACTTTGGTGTTCTCTCTTACATTTTTTTTAATGGGAATTATCACACTCAGTATATCACCTCTATACCTCCAGAAATTCCCCATATATATTTTTACATTGCATCAACCCAATCCCAGTTTCTTTCACACTTATTTAACTCATTAAGTTTTAAGTAAAATTTTTATATACTTTTCAATTAATTTTCTCTTTTCAGCTATTTGGCTATAAACCAAAAAATTAATTTAATACATTATTATAAAGTCACAAACTAAGTATAAAATTGAAACAAACCCTCAAAGTATATTCTTGCATATTTCTAGTATGCTTGCTTTTGAAATCAATGAAAAATAAACAGTAAAAGAAAAATTTAAGAATTTCTTTACACACACACACACACACACACGACACTGATAAATCAATCCACTATTTTCAAATAAAAAAATAAATGATTTCTTGCCATTCAAAGACTTCCTTTATTATTTCTTGTCAGACAGTACTGCCAGCAGCAAATTTTCTTAGGCTTTGTCTATTGGAGAATATGTTCCCTTTTCATCACTGATGGATAGATTTTCTGAATGTGAAATCTTTGATTGAAATTGATGTTTTTCTCTAAGCTCTTTGAGCGTGCTAGTCCACTGTCTTCCAATATTTTACGCAGGAAAATTGAGTCAACAGTAGCCAGGAGCTCAGGAGAAGAACTGAACTGAATTTTATTAACACTAGAGGACCCCAGAGAACTAATATCTAAAATCTGAGTCACTGATTATAGAGCGTTTGTCTTTTTTTCATAGGGTGGCAAGCAGGAGTTACAAAAAAACTAGATAAGCATAGCTGAAGACCATGGTACAATGGATATCTTGTGGTGAGCATAGTTGTATGTAGCAAAGTTCTTTATAGCAAGTTTGCAGAAGTTTCAACTTGATAACAAATCATATGATTTAGCTGAGTTCAGTGGCAGAGAATAGAATGGCTGCAGCCTGATGGAATGAAATGGTTGCCCTTAGGTCAGGATTTCTACTTCATTCCCTCCTCTTAATGCTCCTCAGGAACTCTGAGGGGCATCATCATTTGAGTCCATTAGGGACTGTTGAGTGTAGGCAGCACTTATGTATATTAAACTCAGGTAACTTGGGGGTCTTTTCTTCTGGCGACCTGTCTGAATTGACCTCTGAATTAAACTATGTGCACATGGGATTATACAGCAACCCATAGAATGAGAATTTTAATAGTAATGATCAGGGAAGTAAGTATGGAGGCCATTAAGACCTTTTATTTGTCAAACCATTGTTTTAGTAAACTTATAAATAGGTTATTAACTCCAGCGTTTTTGTCTAGTTTTATTTGACAGGGGTGTTTGGCCTTGGAAGGCCTTGGTAATTGTGTCAGCAGGGGCAGAGGTTTTTGGGATAAAAGTATAGTATTGTGTTCCTGTCATAAGAAAGACACCACTTTGTTGTTGTTGCTGTTGTTGTTAGAGTCATATCCAGAGTAAGTCTGTTTGTTAGGACAGCTGCTTGGTGGGCCAAGTTGTTTAGCTATTTTTAAAATGGCCTCCTGGCTATAATTTATAAACCTTTGTTGATTGTAGTTAATATAGTTTATCCAATCTACATTTTTGTTGATAGTGCCCCATCACAACAGTAAATTTTTAAATCCTGTAGCTACTTGATTTTGAGCTTTAAATTTAGTGGGGACCCCTCCCATGATCCCCACTGTATCCATGTAGACAGTAAGGTCAAATTCATTGAAACAAACCCTTTGAAACAGTAAGGGGACAGATTGATTTAGTGGCATTTTCTGAATGCATGGGAAGACTCAAGAAGAGGGACTGACCTTTAAGCAATTGTAAAGGGAGTAACCAACTGGACTAGGGCACAGGTTTAGTCTAGCCATTGAGAAGGGTCAGGTATAGAAATTTCTTTCATAATTGCCAAGCATCTCCATGGGCTGAGCTAGGGTTAAGTCAGTGAGGTTTTGAATTATTTCTGTTACAAAGGCTGGGCCACTGTCACTTCCCATGGACAGAAGGAGTCCATGTCTGGAAATAATTTCTCAGAGTAATGCTTGACTGACCTCAGAGGATTTTTGCATAGGAGTCCTTGGTATTGGGTGGCCTGGCTGTTGAGAGTTAGCAATGTCCACTGTTAATTAGGAGGTCCAGTACAGTACGTGGCACCTGGATGGCTAGGTCTTGGCCTAGGGTGAGCTTGTCAGCTTTCTTGACCAGAAGGACAGTGGCTTCCAGGGTGCAGAGGCAAGGGGGCCAGCCCTTAGTGACTGGATCCAAGTGTTCAAACAGGTAAGGCCAACAGGATTTCTGCTTTAATTTCAGATTAAAAATTAGCAGTTAATATAATTGCAATCTCCTAGTACATGGAGAAAAAAGTTTTCTGTCACTTTTAATATGATTTTCTTTTGACTTTCCATACTTTGTGATATATCTGTGAATGGATATATCTGTTGTATTTGAAAAGTAGAAATATACAGATCAGTGTTCTGTATCAATTGTGTAAATTATAGCCAGTATTTCTACAAATATTGTTCTGCCCCAAGGCTTGAATCAGACATGACTCTCCTAACTCCTAACCTGGTTGCCAGCAGAGACATTATTCTCAGGAGAGAACTCAGCTCAGCACCACAGCTGTCACTGGCAAGCACAGGGCAAAGGAGATAAGATAGGACAAGGAATTTTGCAGGTTCCAGGATATCTATCGACATCTGGGGACATCTGAGAACATCTGGAACTACCCCAAAGTTTGTACCACACACCTCAAGAACTTTGCCCAGGGCTGGAGATATAGGTCAGTGGCACAACACCTGCCTGGCAAGTGTGAGGCCCTGAGTTCAATTCCCAGTTCCAAAAAAAAAAAAAATCAAAAAACTGGAAAAAAAAAAAAAAAAAAAAGGAACTTTGCCCAGTAAGGTACAAGACAGCAAGAGAACTTTCAGCAAGAGAACTTTGCTGTCTTGATGCTTATTAAAATAAACAGATGTTTATTAGCATTCTCCCATGTAAAGTCCCTTGCCTTCTTTCCATCCCTTTAAATAGGGCACACGTCTCTTTGTTCTCTACCGATGGTCTTTTTGCCTTCTATCTGCCTGCACCCAGGCATGATAAACTTCATGCCATGTTGCCTTTGCACAAGCCCAGCGGTCCCTGCTGGTCCTCTGCCCCTCACACTGTGCATTACAGCCCCTTTTTCTCAATCTTCTTTCTTTATTGTTTTATGGGTACATTTTAGATATACATAATGACCATATGTATCATAGATCATGTGTACCTGTACTTGATATAACTTGATTCATTTTTTCCCCATTCTCCCACCCTCCCTTCAACTCCTCCTCCCCTCCCCATTTACAAAAGCTTTGTTTCCCTTTTTTCCATCTTTTTTCACTTTTTTACTTTTCTCTTCTTTCCTTTCCCCCTCCCCCATCCCTTGTTTCCCTTTCCATTTGAACATTTTTTTTCTATTTCACAATATTTAATATCCATTTTGGTCCTTATTTACACTTCCAGTTTCTCACACTGGAGAAACAATATGGTCTTTTCGAATGTGATGAAGACCACTATGAAGCAGCTCTGAGCAGGATTTAAAATTAATCAGTTGGCTTTCTGTGTTTACTTGTGAGTCTGTCCTAGGCCCCTTGTCCAGATGGGCAGTGGATTCGTAGTGAGTGAACCTCTATAAGTCACTGGTCCCGGCTGAAGCCTGTAGTGGCCTATGGTGCCATGATCCCTGAAAGGACAAGATAAGGCCACAGCTGAGGACACTTGGCTCCAACCCCAATTAACTAAATAGAGACTGCAGCTGCGGGCTCCAGTCTCTTGCATTAAAACCAACCTAGAGATAAGGTAGTTCTCCTGATTGGCATAATTTACTACTTGGGAAAGTCTTTGAACTGACTCCCAAGGTCCTGCGCAGTTCCCACATTTTCCTTAGTATCCCCTTCCTTTGTTTAAAAACCAAATAAATACAAGCCACCCGGGGAAGTTCTTTATCTCAGCCCCAAGAGAATCTCAAATTCTGCTAGAGGATTTTGATCCTCCTGGAGTGCTAAAATCGTACCACGTGTCTCTTTCATTTAAACCTTCACTATCCACTGGTTTGGGAAGCTGTGGGCATGACACAAATGTGGGTACAATTTATTTCACTTAAGAATATGATCTCAAGGTGCATCCATTTACCTAGGAATGTCTCAGGCTTATCCTTCATTGTATAAAAAAACTTCATTGTATAAAAAAAACCCCACAACTTCTTTATCCATTTCTCAGTTGATGGGCATTTGAGCTGTTTCAAAGATTTGGCTATTACAAACTGTACCACTATAAACATGGGAGTGCATATATCACTGTGGTATGATGCTTTTAATTCTTCCAGGAAAATACCGAGAAGGGGAATAGCTGGATCAAATGAGATCTCTAATCCCAGTTTTTTGAGGCATCTCCACACTGATTTCACAGTGGTTGCCCCAGTCTACAATTCTACGAACAGTAGAGAAGCGTTCCTTTCCCCCTACAGCTCCTCCAGCATTTGTTGCTGGTTGATTTCTTGACAAGAGCCATTCTTTCTGGGGTGAGATGGAATCTTACCATTGTTTCAATTTGTATCTCTTCAATGACCAATGATGTTAAACATTTTTTTATGTATTTATTTGCTGTCTGTACTTCTTCATCTGAGAAGTATGTATTCATCTCAGATACCCATTTTGGGATTGGGTCTTTAAATTTGGGGGAGTC